CTAGTGCGGCGAAGTGGTCTGCGCCAGCTGCCTCCTCAAGAAGCTCGTCGAAGAAACCACGCGCGTCGGGCTGCGCGAGGTCAAAGTATGCATGACGTGTCTCTCGTCAACGAACGAGCGGCAGACCAAACCGTCGTCGTCGTCGCTCTCGTCGTCGTCGTCCAAGCTCGCGCCCGCCTCGCACAGCAGCGGCGCCATCGAGCCGCACGCCAAGCACGCAATGGACTCGTCCAAGTCGATCGAGTCGCTTGCCAAGGCCCCACACCACGAGACGCCGACGATCCACTACCTCGACGACGACGACGACCACCACCACCATGCTACGCTGCGCGGCGACGACGACGACCTGGACAACTTTCGCTTTACGGTCGAGTACGAGCTCGACTACAACTGGGTCTACCCGTGGCCGCGGCCGCCGACCTTGCGCAACGAGTCCGAGCGCCTCGACGCGCTGCGCGCCCTGCGCATCCTCGACACACCGCGCGACGATGGCTTTGACAGCATCTGTGAGCTCGCAACCAATGCGCTCCAGTGCCCGATCGGTGTCATTAGCTTTATGGACGACGACCGGCAGTGGTTCAAGGCGTGCATCGGCCTCACCGAGGCCGCGATTCCGCGCGACATCGCCTTCTGCGCCCACACGATCCGGTCGCAGGAAGCCATGGTGGTCCCGGATACAACCAAGGACCCGCGGTTCGTTCAGAACCCGCTCGTGACGGGCCCGACGCACATTCGGTTCTACGCAGGCGCGCCGCTGATTGCACCGACGTTTGGCCAAGTCATTGGCACCATTTGCGTCATGGACACCGTGCCCCATCCGCGCTGCGAGGTCGCGACGCTCGAGAAGCTCTCGACGATCGTCATGAAGAAGATTGCATTGTCATCAGCATCGACAAGTGCGAATATGATGCATGGCAGCGCGCGAGGATCGGCGACGAATTTGCGCGGCTACTCGTCGTCGTCGGTGTCGACGGTCGCCTCGTCGGCGTCGTCGAGCTACCCGAATACGACGACGGATCCGCCCTTGGGCAACCTCGAGTCGATGATGCTGCAGCTACTGTCCAAAGCCGCCGAGACCCAGCATCAGCTCGCGACCCAGCAGCAGCCCGCGCTCTTATAGAAGGAGCAGAAAACCATCTCGTTCGTGTGTCTAACCCTCGTAACTCGTGTCGTCCGTCGCTGTACGTTTATCATTTTATTAGCTGCAGGGTAAAGTGGCGGCAATCACTGTTTCGTGCAGACTCGATGACGAGGCGTCGTCGTCTGCAAGGAACGTGATGACGCACGCCGCTTGGACGCCAAGTCTCTCTCGACGGATACGTACTTGGCAAGTGGGGCCAGCCGCCGAGTCGACGACCAAGTAGAGACCTTCTTGGCGTTCGGATGTCAAAAAGTGACCTTTGATCGATGGCCAATTGCAGGCGGTGGGATGCCGTTGTTCTTTAGTCCAAGGTGAGGAACGGATGCGTTGATCGAGGCAAACGTTATTGAACGGTGTCCAGGTGCAGACGCAGTCGCTTGCAGCAAGGGTCCATAAATTGATTTATGTACCCTTGCTCGCCCCGACGTGCCACGCCATGAGCTCCAGGAATCTGGGGATGTGTACATCTTGTTGGAATGCAGTGAAATAATGTACTTATCAACAAAAAACGCCGGCAAAATGACACTCGGTCCGGAGCGTTCGTCGCTGGGTTCACGTACTGGATACCACGCCGTCTCGCGCGGTGCAAATATCAAATCGATGTAGCCGCTTCCGTTGCAAAGTGGTCGCAGCCGCTGATCTTGTACTACAATATGTGGCCGCGTCCAAGCTCTGCCCAAGATAGTATCAATAAAGCCGTCAAGAAATGTCGTTGGCGCAAACCATTGCTTGGTGCCCGCAATGTTCGCCACGCTCAAGTTGTCTTACGTCGATGCCAGCTCTCTGGCGGGTGCGATGACACCGGCCACCGGCATCGACGTCGATGCAATCAGCGTCGCCCAGCGCGCCAAGCACGACGTCAGATGCGGAAACTAGTACGCGCGCCATGGCGGGCAAAGTCGTTCGATGATGTGAGCGGGTTGAGCGACGACCTGAGTTGGACGTTTGCAAATGACTCGCGCGTGGCCGAGCCAGAGAGCTGATCGCAGATTCTTATGACTGCGGAAAGCCAAAGAAACGCCCGCGCCAATGCAATGAAGTCGTACACAGCGCTCGTCGATCGGATCTCACGATATTTGTTTTTTGGTCGCAACCGAGCGACAGTGACGTGGCGGTGTCCTGCACTTGGTGGTGATTTTGGCCAATCGGACGTGAGAGTTGAAAATGGCGGCGTTTCATTGGAAGGGGTCAATCACTTGATCATTTTCGATTTGGACGTCTGCGGCCGAGTGGACCATGTGGAAGAAGCAGGTACATGAGACGAAGAGATGAAGACAAGGGAAGCGACCGACTGCGTGTGCGGCTACATAGAAAGAGCTCCTTGATGCTATAATGCATGGTCGACTGGACGATGTGAAGCGGCTCGTGGAAGAAAAAGGCGTGAATCCCAACTACGACAATGGCGTACGTTGTCTTGTCGATCGATCTATTGGATGTATTGATATTTGTATGCTATTGGTTGTAGTTTGCATTGCGCGCTGCTACTTTGCAAGGTCATACGAACGCCGTCGACTACTTGCTGAAAAAGAACGCGTCGACGGAATTTTGTACTCCGGTACGTCGATCGATATTTCTCTTTTCGATTGTCTTTGGATCCCCAATGAAGTTGAGCAATCGGTAGTTTGGATATACACCTCTGATTTTCGCTGCTCAACACAATTATCTCAAAATCGTGCGTCTCCTCTTGGACGCCAACGCAGATATCAACGCCAAAACCAACGTATGTTGTCTCTCCATCCTCCTCTGATATCGTTTTTTCTAAAAACAAACGGACGCAGTACAACAAAACAGCGCTCGACATTGCGGTTGAAGAGGGACACAATGACGTGGCGCAGCTCTTGCGCAGCCATCCTCAACGCAAGATCAACAATGTACATCAACACATTGGACTTATCGATCGACGTTCCCATGCGTAGCTTCTACCGACCTCGCACGAACGCATCCAAGACGCCATCCACCTCATCAAGGAGCCCCATACCGACGTGAATCTGCGAGATGGCGTACGTCACCTGCATTATGAGCAACGTACTAATGATTCTATTGTTGTAGAATTTTGTCCCGCTGCTGCATTTGGTGACCGACACGGGTAACATGGAGCTACTGCAAACTCTCCTTGAAGAGCCTGCCCTTGATGTGAACGCCACCGACAAGGTACAAAACACGCAGCTAGCATACACGAAATAGTATATCGTAGGACGAGCAAATGGCGCTTGCCCGTGCGATGGCCAAGAACGACATGGCTGCGGTTGTTGCCCTTTTGAAAGCCAACGCCAGTCTTGGCCAGCTGAGCGAGGTATAAATGCGATTACACATACATCATTCGATGCACTAATATTAGGCGCAACTGCGCGCCCTCATCGAAGCTGATCTCTCTGGCAATGCACTGCTTCAAGCCGCCTCGACCAACAACGCTAGCCGCGTCGAGGGCCTGATCCTCGCTGGTGTCCGTCCTGGAACCACCAACAAGGTGCAACGATTTCTTACACCCACCATCGCCTTGAGACGATACCTCTACATCAATAGGACGGAGCCTCCGCGCTGCACGTGGCGGCTGCCAACGGCAACGACGCCATCGTCCAGCTACTGCTGGCAAAGGATGCGTCACTCTCGCTCCAAAGCGACCATGTAATGTGTACCTCCAAAGACAACCAACCATTTAGATTCCATACTATCTAGCGAGGCAATCTGCCGCTGCACCTCGCGGCAGCACACGGTCACTTGACCATCGTCGATCACTTGCTCAAAGACTCGACCCTCAGTAGTGGTCTCGACTGCACCAACAACGTACGCACTATCCTTTCTGTCAACAGAGATGCTCATGACGACATGTAGGCGGGTGAGGAGCCCCTCTTCGCGGCAGCCAAAACGGGGCATGACACCGTCGTCAAACGCTTGCTTGAAGCCAAGGCCAAAACCAACACCACGGCCACGGTTCGCATCCAAGTCGCACTCGACGCCTCCGATGAACCCATGTTATTCTCCATCTAGGATGGTTCGACGCTCCTGCATGCCGCCGCGCTGGGTGGCAGCGTCATCATCCTTCGTCATCTCCGATCGCATTTTTCGACCGTTGACGTCTGCGACGAGGTCCTCACTTCCACCCCTCTCAACGTCTCTGACTCGAATACGACGTAGAGGGGGCAGACGCCATTGCATGTCGCGGCCAAGCAAGGACATGACACAGCCGTTCAATTCCTCTTGGGCGCCAACGCCAGCGTATTTGCCACATCCAGCGTACGACGGCCAACTTTATCCTCTTCGACGTTTCTTGCATGTCGTCTAGGACGATGCGACACCGCGGATGCTGGCGACAGCGCCGACCGTTCTCACCATCTTGCGCGACGCCGAAGCAAGAGCGCACGCTGAAGTACGACGATACATGTAGCGAGCCATTATCACGCGTCATTTCGACGCCTAGGAGCGTACGCTGGCAAACGCCATCGGGGCGCGTCATTGGAAGCAAGTCCAGAGGCTGATGCTTGATGGCGTCGCCGTCACGGACGCCGATGATGTGGTACGTCGTTTGTCTTTGCGTATTGTTGTCGGTGCAAGAGCATGGAATCTAGGACACGATTGTGGACGAATGGCTCGCTACCGGCGACCCATCGCTGCTGCAAGCGATAGCCGCTGGTCCAAAAGAGGTGCCTACGACGCTATTGGCACATATGATATGCACAAGCAGCATCCTAGCTGGCCCAGAAAGCGCTGCATGCAGCAGCGGTCAGCAACAAGGTGCGGCTGGTGATGCGCCTACTCCACGCCTCATCGTCCGATCTTGATGTTGTCTCCAACGTAATGTACACTCTCCCGCAATGCCAAACACACAACGCGACGCTAGACGGGACCATCTCCGTTGCACGGTGCTGCTCGAGAAGGCAAAACGGCAGTCCTCACGCATTTGCTGGCCAGAGCCCGCGTCCCCATCAACACGAAAAACGAGGTATTAGACATTGTCGATCATTCCATTCATGTCGTCGTGTAGGAAGGGTACACGGCGCTGGCACTCGCGGTTCGGAACAACAAGAGCTTATCGGTGCAGCTGCTCCTTTCCGTGGGCGCCGACCCCATGATCCCAATGCCGGTTCGAGTCTGCCTCTGCGCTTGGGCCATTAGTATCACCATCGAGTAGGATGGCACGTCACTTGTGCAAATGGCGTCTGCGGGTCTTCCGACTACACGCAACGTTCTGGCCGCGCTGTTTGAGACCTTTGGGGTCGTTCTCGCGCCAGACGATGCTGTAACTCGAGACCGATCGCTTCCGAGGACACTGACACCAATTTTGCGTAGCCATGGGACGAGGCACTCGCGCAGGCCCTCGTACACGCCGTGCGTAATGGCGACGAGAGGGCCGTGCGCTGCCTTTTAGACGCGGATGCGAAGGTTTCGACCTTGCTACCGGTACTGATCGATCTCAATCTCGAATTTCGCATGGTCACCGCTGATTCAGAACGGCCAAACGCTCTTGGCCGCGGCCATCCAAGCGGACTACGATGCCATTGCGCGACTGCTTTTTCAACCTCTGTACCCGGAGGCCGTGACGGTAGTACGCTTGGTGGGACGATGGAGATGAGAAATTGATTTGCGTAGGCTTCTCTGGCCGACGTGGAGCTGGGGGCCGGCATCTTCTCGCACAGCAATGTCCTTGTCGTCAAGGCCACGTACCAAGGCAAGGCCGCCGTCTTGAAAGGGCCAACGACACACGTCCAACGCATTGCCGATTCCTTCCAAAATGAAGTCGACAACATGCGAGTGTACGCGATGCAATGCGAGGGCTTGTGTAACAAAGCAGCGTAGATGCTCGTCCCCGTATGTGCTGCCGCTGCTCGCGATCCTCGACACCAAGACGCGCGAGCCGCTGCTCGGGATCGAGCACGACGTTCTCAACAGCCCGGCGATGGTGATGGAGTACATGGACCAAGGCGATCTAAGCAAGTACCTCAAGGCGAAACGGGATGGGCGGCCGCTGGCCTTGGAGCTCTCAACGATCGAGGTCGCGCTAGTCGTGGCAAGAGCACTCGCCGACCTCCACCGCCGCAACATGATGCACCGCGACGTCAAGAGCCTCAACATCTTTCTCTCGAGAACCCACTATATTCGATTGGGCGATCTCGGCTCGGCGCGCACCCTCGACCCAAACAATACCATGACGTCCAATGCCGGCACTCCGTACTGGATTGCGCCCGAGGTGCTTCGGGACCCGGAGCATGCAGGCGAAGGTCGCATCTATACGACGGCCGCCGACATTTACTCGTTTGGCGTCGTCTTGACCGAGCTCGACACCCGTGACGTGCCGTACCACGATGTCGTTGGTCCCAAGCGCGGTTCGATCCTCTCCAAGGTCCTCGCGGGAGAGTTGCGCCCGACGATGAGTGCGACGTGCCCTCGCTGGCTCCACACGCTTGCCAACCAGTGCATGGCGTTTGATCCAACAAACCGTCCGACCGCCGATGCCATTGTTCAAGAGCTCTTGCTCCACCGCCACGACGACGCGCCGGCCCGCACCGATGGCGTTTTGGTTCCCAGCCCTAATACGAGCGCGGTAGACACGTCTGGATTCTATCAAGTGCGTCTCATGCGTCCATGTCTAGACTGCCTAAGTGGTGATCTCTGCGTCGACATAGGGCTCAATTGAATTACATGAGTTTGTTTTTTGAAGAAATGAAAAGAGTCCATCTGCGATTGTACTGTCGGTGCGACAGTGAGAGAGAACGACACGACAAGGCGCAGGTAGCTGTCCAACCATCGCAGTCGGTAAAATGAATGCACTGGTTGGCTGGATACTGTCTCCGCAGTCCATGATGAAGGCTCTGGTACGCCCAAAGAATGTCCAAGACAGAAAAGCAATGGAATGAAAGAGAATACCCCACCGACCGTGCGCTAGCATCCTTCGCTCCCTTGCACGCGGGCTAGGTGTCTGTCTTCGTTGCCAAGGCGCCTGCGACGCCAGGTCATTTGGCTGTGACGTTGACGAGCACATGGCACACGTCTATTGCCAGCTGATGCTACTCAAGGTAGTCGGACCCATCTCTCCTTGCACCAGGTTCTCATCTTCCGAGTCGAGGAGGCTTGCCAATGCTATATTGCTGCCAACGACGGGGCCACGGTCCTCGCGCTGCTGGTCCAAGGCGCACATGTCGTCGTCCATGCCTTCATTGTTCGTGCTTGTCATATTGAAATGAAAACTCGTGGATCGAGAGAGGATGGGCTAGCACATGCGTGTGGCCCATGCCGTCGCGACCAATGACGCAGCGCTGTTGGATGCTTGAGGTCGTCGAGACGAGCGAGTAGTTGCAAGCAGTAAAAAACCGCCCACAAAACGAGTGAATGGCAGGACGGTCGACGCGACAGCATGCGCTGGTCCTTGCGGTCGAGCACAACAAGACGCATAGCTTACACACCTCGTGCGCGCGACTGTCCGATCGGTCGTCGTCGTCTCTGCAGTGCAATCACATCGTCTGTCTCATCTCTCTCTCCTCGTCGACAAGACCTACTCTCCGTTGCACGAGGCAGCGCCACGCAATCACACGCGAATTCTTAGCTCTTGTTAACCTGTTTGTCTAGCAACCTTGATGTACCGAACCAGGTGAGTGAGTCTTTTGTCTCTGGATCACATACAAATGTTGTCTATCCACAGTGTATGGTTCGGATGAGTTCTCGGCACTGGTGACGCTCGTCGTCGACGCCAATCACGTAGCGGGTGCTGACGCGTGTCATTGTCCACGGCCACGCTGCTGGGATTTTCGCCTGGAAAGAATCAATCTTTCAAGAGCTCGATCGCTCGCGTAGGAGCCGCTGGTACACCACGCAATTGCTTCGTTTCGCGACGTGTGTTGAACGTCTTGTTGACTGCGATAATCGACGCGACCGACATGGTAGATGACACACACTGTATCGAGTTTGCGCAAAAAGGGTGTTTTGGATCATCATCGTTATCGGCTCCCACACAATGATGGTCTGTACGGCACCACGCCAAGCAACGCTTAACGCTTGGGGCTATTGGCGTCGGCGGAAAAGCGCTGTGTCGAGTCGGCGACTAATGCATCGACGCAGCAGCGCTGCCGATGCCCACACGTCGGCTTGCGGTCGGTTGCTGTGATGGCAGTTGACGCATTTTGGTGTTTGGCAAAGTGGCTTGGCCATAAGGACGAGCGGCATGTGTCTCTTCTTGCCGTCAATGACGTCGACGGAAGCGACGTGCTCACGGATGCCATCTGCCTGCTGTCGCCTTGAAGCCTTTGTCGTGACACTCGGACGCCTAGGAGCCGCAGTAGCCTTCATCGGGTGTGGGCCACTACTACGTTGAAAGCCTTGCAATGGACTATCGATGAGACACCCTCATGGTGGCACGCCTCGCCGTCCTCGTGGCTGCTTGTGCCGTGACCGACGCCATCGTTTTGTTTTGCGTCGTCATGACGAAGCTGAACACGCTAAATGGTACGTACACCTCCTGCGATCCTTTACCTCCTGCGATTCTATTGCAAAGGAAGATCGAGTAAGCGTCGCCCGCGTATGTGGCGTGTGGCGCCGAGCAGTCGTCGTGACGTGGCGTGGTACAGGGATTGTGAAATTGTTGCTGTATTTTGGCCAATCAAAATTGACAGACATAAATCATGGCACGTGATTGGAAGGGGTAAGTCACTTGATCATTTTCGTTTTGGACGTCGACGGCCAAGAGGACCATGGCGTGGGGGGAGGTACATGAGACGAAGAGACGAAGATGAAGGAAGCGATCGACTGCGTCTCTGACTACATAGAAGGAGCTCTTGTATGCTGCAGCTGACGGTCGACTGTACGAAGTGAAGGACTTCGTGGAAGAAGAAGGCGTCGATCCCAACTTCAGAGATGGCGTACGTTGTCTTGTCGATCGATCTATTGGATATTGATATTGGTATGCTATTGGTCGTAGGAAGCCTTGTGCTTGGCTGCTATGAATGGTCGAACGAGCGTCGTCGACTACTTGCTGAAGAAGAACGTGTCGACGGAAAGTCGCATTGTACGTCGATCGATCGCTTAATTCTTCTTTTCGATTGTATTGCAATTAAAATTCAACGATCGGTAGGATGGAGATACACCTCTGATTCGCGCTGCGAGAGACAATTATCTCGAAGTTGTGCGCCTCCTCTTGGCCGCCAACGCCGATGTCAACGCCACAAACTACGTACGTTGTCTCTACGATATCGTTTTTCTAACGAAAGGACGTAGATCAACGAGACAGCGCTCGACATTGCGGTTGAAGAGGGACACAATGCCATTGCGCAGCTCTTGCGCGACCATGCCCAACGCAAGATCAACAAGGACGAGGTACACACACAAACCATATATCGCCCATCAACATATTTGCTAAGTGGAATATATTCCTCTAGCTCCTAACAGCACTGCTCGAACGACGCTTCTCGGACGCTACGAGCCTTTTGTCGGATCCTGCCATGGACGTCAACCTTTGCGATGGCGTACGCAATACCATCTCTTCCATCCATGTACTACACGGGCTTGCATCTAGGACCGCGTCCCTCTGCTGCTTCTTGTGACGGACGCGGGTGACATGAAGATGCTGCAAACCCTCCTGTCCAAACCCAACCTCGATGTGAACGCTACCGACAAGGTAATGCACAAGTTGAGAGGAACTCGAGTCTCACACACTATTGTAGCACGGACAAACAGCGCTAGCTCGTGCGATTGCCAAGAAGGACGTCGCAGCGGTCTTTGCTCTTTTGAAAGCCAACGTCAGTCTTGGCCAGCTCAACGAGGTATGAAGACGATTACGCATAAATCGTCCGATACATTGATATTAGGCGCAACTGCGTGCCATCATCGAAGTTGATCTCTCTGGCAATGCACTGCTTCAAGCCGCCTCGACCAACAACGCTAGCGTCGTCGAGCGGTGGCTTCTCGCTGGTGTCCGTCCTGCAACCACCAACGACGTGCGACGATTCCTCTTTTTCATGCTACATCAAATATACCTCTCCATCCATAGGACGGAGCCACCGCGCTGCACGTGGCCGCTGCCAACGGCTACGAGGCCATCGCGCAGCTGCTGCTGGCCAAGACCGCGTCACTCTCGATCTACAGCGACCATGTATTCCATACCTCTACTCTACCAACCTTTCATATTCCATAAAACTATCTAGCGAGGCAATCTGCCGCTGCACCTTGCGGCCGCCAACGGTCACTTGACCATCGTCGATCGGTTGCTCAAAGACTCGACCCTCAGCGGTCTCAACTGCACCAACAACGTAGGACTCCTCAACACTCGTTATCTTGATAGATTGATTGTTGAAATGTGTCTAGGAGGGCTGGTCACCCTTGACAGTCGCAGTTCAGAGCGGCCACGCGCCCGTCGTTTCGCGCTTGCTTCAATCCGGAGCGTCGCTCGACTTCACTGCCAGCGTACTCAACCTCATTTCATGCTCCACAAGTTGTCACATGTGTTGCTTGTAGAATGGATGGACGCTGCTGCACGAAGCTGCGGCGACAGGAAACCTCAAAGTGATCCAAGCCCTCCTCTCGACCCAGCTCAACATTTTTGCCAAAACCACGGTGCGTTGCAAGAGCTCTCTATGAACAAAGTGAAATGACGCGTCGGTGTCATTAACGTAGGCGGGCGAGACACCCTTGATGACCGCGACGCGAAAGCAACGCCCCAACATCATCCTCCAAGCCTTCAGAGACATCGAGGCCGCTGAAAACAAACGTTTTTTGGACGCCGTTCGCAGTGGTGAAAAGGCCCACGTCGATTCCCTTCTCAAAAAAGGCGTCAACGTCGACACCAAAGACGCGGTGCGCCTACTCTCTCAAAATATGCAATGTGTCTTATGGACCCATAGACGGGCTTCTCGGCGCTGCATGTGGCTGCGTCGTTGGATCAGTTGACAGTTGCGTTGCTACTTGTGGCTGCTGGTACCACCCTCGACGCAGCGGATGCGGTATCGTCAAAGAAATGGTAGATATCACATGTCTCACCACACGATGGTAGGACGGTCCGACTGCGCTGCACACTGCTGCGTCTGCAAACTGCGTCCGCGTCGCCGAGCTACTCGTGGTGGCAGGAGCCAAGTTGGATGCCACGGATCTTGTACAAGCTTTCAGGCGTCATCGCGATAATGATTGCTTGGGACTAGGATCGACGCCAGCCGCTGCACGTCGCTGCTATGCAAGGACACGCTGCCGTCGCGCAGTGCCTATTGGAGCGCGGCGCAGATATCAACGCACTCGATGGGGTAGACGCCATTTCCTTTTCGATAGCTTTATAAAACGTCGTGGTGCGTAGGCCGGGATGACGCCGCTGCATCACGCAGCCATGAAGGGCTCTGGCGCGGTCGTCAAATTGCTCTTGAAGGCCAACGCGTCGGTCTCTGCCCAAAACAAAGTACGTATATATGTCTGGCTAGCAGAATTTAATCGATATTGTGTAGAATGGGGCAACGCCTTTGGCACTCGCCAAGCAAAACCAGGTCATTGTGCGCATGATGACACGTCACTTGGTACAACCTTTTGCGTCCTTCCAACACGGTTGTGACGATAATGATGTACTATGCATTAGCTCCTCGCAGCCGTGCAGAAGAAGGATGTCAATGCCCTGCAGCAGATGCTGAATGCCGGCGCATCCACCGACGAACGCGACAACGTATGTGCGGTGGATCGATTGAAACCTCCTTCACATGCATGATCTTTAGGCTGGCACGCCGCTGCTGCACCTCGTCATTGAGAGCAGTAGCTCCGAGTTGCTCAAAGTGATGATGATCAAGTCGGCCAACGTGGACCTCAACGTCATCGACACGGTACCTTTTGTTGGTGGTTGATGGGTCGCATGTCTCATATTCATGAAAAGAATGGGCGAACGCCCCTCGACCGCGCGGTCTGCAACACGAATGTCGCTGCCGCCTTGGCCCTCGTGCTTGCCGACGCTGTCACCAAGCAGTTGCGCAAGGTCGGTGCCTCGAACGTTGCTGGACGCTGCTTCAATGCTTGTGTAGAACCAAATGCGTGGCTTTGTCCAAACGTACGGCGCCCACATGTTTGGTGTGGCGCTACGTGACGCCATCGCGGCCAACGACCAAAAAAGAGTGGAAAGACTCCTCGGCCTTGGCGTCTCGCCCGCCTCGACCAACGAGGTGCATATTTCCCAGGCCAAGCTTGAACTCTATGTACAATGTGGAATGGACTGTAGAAAGGGGAGACAAGTCTGCACGTGGCCGTCACCAAGAACCACGTTGCGTTTGTTCAGCTGCTGCTCGCGCAGGATGCGACCCTGCCGCAACACGGCGACAAGGTATATCAGATCTGGAATCTGAAATGGCTTCAAATGCATTCCGCAACTAGTTTGGTAACGTGCCTCTGCACCTCGCGGCGGCGTGTGGTCAAGTGACGATCGTCGACGCGTTGCTCAAGAATGTCGACAAGAGTGGCATCGACGCCATCAACCACGTACTACTCTTCTACCATCAACGCAAGCTCTCACTCACTTGTTTTTGGGGTGGTGTAGGAAGGCGACTCGCCCCTTGTCATCGCCGTCAAGAAAGGCCACGTTGACGTTGTGTCGCGCTTGCTACAAGCCAAAGCATCGCTGCGCTGCACGACGAGCGTACGTTCTGCTCCCATCTCGAAGTCGATGGTCATGCGGTGTAGACGGGGTGGACGCTGCTGCACGAGGCGGCAGCGAGCGGCAATCTCAAGGTAATTCAAGCGCTCGTCGAGACGCCGCTCAACATCGTTGCGAAAACCACGGTATGTCTCATGACAACAATCGACGGCGGAAATGAATCGTTTGTGTCATATGCGTAGGCGAGCGAGACGCCACTCAAGATCGCGATCGACAAGCAGCACGCAGACGACGTCCTCCAAGCTTTGAGAGACGCGGAGGCCGCTGCGAATCGGCGCTTCTTGGACGCGGTGTCGAGTGGTGACGTCGAGCTCGTCGACGCGTGTCTCAACAAGGGCGTCGACATCAACACGACAGACGAGGTATGTCCATCCTCACAATGGATCGTGGATGATGGAATATGTGATTTGGTAGAAGGGCCGCACGGCGCTGCACGTGGCCGTGACCAAGAACCACGCAGATGTCGTCGAGCAACTCGTGCGTGGAGGTGCTACGCTCGTTGTTTGCGACGCGGTGCGTTGTCCGAGCCACGCTGCTGTTGGTTGTTGACGCTGGTTGGTAGGCCGGCACTTCGCCTCTCTTCCTCGCGGCGCAGCAAGACAAGGCGGCGATGGCCGATGTGCTCTTGACGTCGTTTGAGGCAATGGCGACTTGTATCCGCTTGAGCTACGCCGAGGCCGTCGACAAGGGCCACAAGGCGGTCACTGATGTGTTGTTTCCGCACCTGCAGCAACGCGTCGCGGATTCGGATCCGGATCCGGTGGGCCGACGTTCGACACCACATGTATATCTCATGTGTACATTAGGAGGCGGACCGCGCGGCCAAAGAGGCCAGCCGAGACGCTCTCCTTTCCATCTTCCGTGTCGCCTTGGACAAGGCCGATATGGTGGGTTCAAGTATACGGATCACGACAATATTGTCTTCGTAGGAGGCGACCTTGGTAAAAGCCGTGGTGGTCGGCCACGTCGACGCCGTGCAGTGCCTCTTGGCGATGGGCGCCGACCCGACGACGATGCGACCGGTGCAATGACTCGACAAGCGTCATCAAGTTGCTATGGAGTTTTTTAGGAGCAAGACGGGTGGACGCTTCTGGCATTGGCGATCCGGCAAGCCAACGACGCTGTCGCTCAAGTGCTCTATCCTTATCTGTACCCAGGTCCAACGGCGGTACAACATCTACATATATTGACTATCGACTGAATGCAATGTACTAGGCTACGGCCGACGCGCTCGTCATCGAGGGGGAAATCTTTGGTGGCCCCGCCGTCACCGTCAATAAGGCCACGTACGGCGGCAAGGCCGTGGTCACAAAAGGTCCCAGTTTCCCCATCCCGCGCGAGATCAAGAATTTTATGAAAGAAATCGACACGATGCGCACGTACGAGCTGACGCAACGATATGACCATATGACCATATTCTGCGTAGGTGCACGTCGCCATACCTCCAGCCGCTGCTCGCAGTCCTCGACAATGGCTCCGAGAAGCCGCACTTCGTCCCGCCCGAGACGTTTCTGTACAGCCCGACGATGATCATGGAGTACATGGAGCTCGGGGACTTGCACAAGTACCTTCAGAAAAAACGGTACACTCACGTCGAGATGGAGCTCTCGACGAGCGAGGTTGCGCTTGTCGTGGCGTTGGCGCTGGCCGACCTCCACCGTCGCAAGGTGATTCACCGCGACGTCAAGAGCCTCAACATCTTTCTCTCAAAGACGCACTACGTCCGGCTCGGTGACCTTGGCTCGGCGCGCGCCCATGACCCAGCTCAAGTGATGTCATCGAACGCTGGCACACTAATCTGGACGGCGCCCGAGGTGCTCCGGGACCCGGATCATGCAGGCGAAGGACGCATGTACACGACGGCCGCCGACATTTACTCGTTTGGCGTCGTCTTGACCGAGCTCGACACCGGCGAACTGCCGTTTCACGATATTGTCGGTTCCGAGCGCGGTTCGATCCTCACCAAGGTCCTCGCGGGAGAGTTGCACCCGACGATGAGTGCGACGTGCCCTCTCTGGCTCCAGACGCTTGCCAACCAGTGCATGGCGTTCGATCCAACAAACCGTCCGACCGCCGATGCCATTGTTCAAGAGCTCTTGCTCCACCGCCACGATGACGCGCCGGCCAGCACCGATGACGTTTTGGCTCCCAGCCCTAATACGAGCGCGGTAGACACGTCTCGATTCTATCAAGTGCGTCTCATGCGTCCATGTCTAGGCTCCGTAAGTGTTAATCTCTGCGTCGACACATGGCTCGATTGAACTACATGAGTTTGTTTTTTGAAGAAATGAAAAGAGTCCATCTGCGATTGTACTGTCGGTGCGACAGTGAGAGAGAACGACACGACAAGGCGCAGGTAGCTGTACAACCATCGCAGTCGTCAAAATAAATGCACTGGTCGGCTGGCTACTGTCTCCGCGGTCCATGATGAAGGCTCTGGCTGCAGTACGCCCGAAGAATGTCCAAGACAGAAAATGCAATGGAATGAAGAAGAATACCCCACCGACCGGTGCTCTAGCATCCTTCGCTCCCTTGGACGCGGGCTAGGTGTCTTCGATCGGGCTAGGGTATTCAGCTTTACGCAGGATAGGGTTCCAGCAGCCTCGTGAATTCCGCCAAGCACACCCATATGAGCGTTAACGGCTTGTACGAGTGCTATCGATGGCGCTGTGGCTCATCGCGAGTCTGGGATGCCGTTTCCCACGCAACCTACTCTTCCATCCCTTTTTTGGGATTGAAATCTGCAACGATCCAACCTGTTTGGATACCTCGATCCAAGTGGATAGCCCACTTATAATCAAATACAACTCCAAAACGCAGGTACTATTGTCTGTGTACTATAATATGCAATTCCTCTTGACGCGAGTATTCAGGTGCTAAAGCACGGCATCATCTTGAGGTGTGGCATCGCATCCAAGGGCTTCATGGCTTTCAAAAACGGCGCGTTCACCGAGCGCCAGTCCAGATTCAAGAGACCTTCCACATAGTTGCCCGGCGTATCGGCCGGGTTGTACTGGTACGCGGACTCGGGGTTGAGCGACCACATGTAGCCCCCGGCATAACTCTCGCTCAAAATCGCCTTGATCGTAAAGTCCGTGCAGCGCTGCATCTTGCTTGGCGTTCAAATAGCCAAACATGTCGTACATGGTATTGGTCACACGCCCCAAGAGCTTCTCGTCGCTGAGCTCGACGTAGCCGTTGATGGCGTTCCCAGCCCCGACCTTGCCGCCGCCAAAGAGATAGTACTGCGGAAACACCGCCGGGTTGTAGTAGTGCGGCGCGTACACGAGCTTCTCGGGGGTGGGGAGGACGACGGGGAAGGCGCCGGCCTTCTGGAGCCCGCCGCCAAACCAGTCGTAGTACGCAAACGCTTGGCCATCGAGCGTCACGATCGTATGCTGGGCGTTGACGCCTTCGACAAAGACGAGCCATTTCGGACAGCCTTTGAGAACGCGCGCGCCAATGAGCTCGGCGCCGAGCTTGAAATCGTTCTTGCCGCCATCACCCCACGTCGCAGTAAACGGTTCGTTCTTGACGTCAATGCCAAGGACGTTCCAGTACTTGTCCGAGCAGAGCGCGGCCGTGAGCATGTCGATGGCTTTCAAGAAATCCTCGACCGGCGTCTCCGGACTGTACCAGAGCGGACTCCCTTCGTTTCGGATGTCGAGCGTGTGCATGGAAATCATGACCGAGATCTGGCGATACCCGAGCGACTGGGTCACCGTCTGGAGCAACCCGAGATACGACGTCAGATCCAGTGCGCGGTTGGTGACGCGGTTGATGATCGACACTTCGGGCGCCTTGTTCTCGAGGATGCTCGAGACGCAGAGCGGCATGCGCACCGAATTGAGCTTGTTGTTGGCGAGAACCTGGGCGATCGCCTACTAGCCATATTCGATACGGGTTAGGGTCTGCGCGACGGACACTCGACCAGGCGACGTACGGCGTTGGTGCCTTCCTCGTCGTTGTCAAAGAGACCAAACGGCGCTTCGAGACCACTAGAACGGGTCGCGGGTAAGAAGCCCACATCCTTTGGCTCCATCACAAACTCGAGTCCAGCCGTGAGCGTCGATGGTTTGTGTGCGTATGGGTGTTGAGGAACTCCATGTGCAAGGTATTCGTGCAGAGACCGACACGACGCGGCAATAGTACAGCTCACGTACTACGTCGACAAAATGATACGACGTCATCGACACCGACCCGATCGCTGCCATTGGCGCCGGTGCGTCGCTGCGATTATAGCTACACAATCTACATTCCCTAACCCTATATATATACTGCGATGGTTGTTAAAAAATGGCCTTGCTGTCACCGCCGTCGACGCTTTGGCAGTACGGGATCACGACTTGCGTGATGCACTGGTGCACCGCGTCGAGCTCGGCGATTTCCCGCGGCGGGTGCGTGCGGTCGGTTTCCGCAAAGATGCCGCAGCAAAATTCAACCTGCTCGAGCATCTCGTAGAGCCGCGCCAGCTTGCGGGCTTCGGTCGCCGACTTGGCTTGCGAGTGCGCTTGCACGTATTTCTGAAAGCTCTGGAGCACCATGCCGACCTTTTGGCCATAAATCTCCTTGAGGGCCGCGTGCTATGCAATAGAGACCACGACATCAGCCCATTGCCCTCGCCTTGGCGTCGAAAGATGAAGAAGGATGTACCTTGCGCCAGTAGACGTGCTGCGACGGCGCGTCCGAGGCCGCCGACGAAAAGCT